GATTCCTGCTGCCCCCCCCCACTGCCCCATGCTGCATGGGGGGGTTCTGCCACGAAGCCCCCTCTCGCTCCTCCAGCCCCTCCCATGGCTGCCCTACCCCCCCTCCTTGCTCTGGCCCTTTAAGAGAAAAAACCAAAAAATAAACCCTCAGACTTACCAACTTCTGCAGCAGCCTTGGGGCTTCTGGGAGCTTGCACAGAGCTCCCCCCAGCACAGGGCAGTGGGGGCAGGGGGATCTCCCCCTGCTGGACAGCACCTGGTGAGTCCAAGGTTTTGTTGTTTGGCTTTTTTTCTTGAAGAGCCAGGAGCTGAGGCAGTGGGGGAGGTTGGAGGGGTCATGGCAAAGCCCCCCCATGCAGTGGGGATTCCCACCCCCCCCAGCAGCACACCGTGAGTTGGGGCTTTTTTTTCCAAAGTGCTGGGAGCTGAGGTGGGCGGGGCAGCCATTAAGAGCAGGTACGGGCGGGGGACAGCGCTGTGTGATTTGGCGATTTGGTGAATCACTGAATCAAATTGCTGTCCCCCAAATCGGCCAGATCTGAAGCGAATACTAGCTGCTTTGCACAGGCCTACAAGCCAGCTCTTCTGTCTGCTTTAGGATTATCTGAGAACACTAATGTAGAAGGTGTGTGCGCACATGCCACAGCCTTTCTTGGTTTGGCTGTGCAGCAGGTGCACAGGGAAGTTATCTTTCAGCAGCTGCACCCAGTTGAGAACCACCATGCTAAGTTGCACATCAGTACTGGTTTTCAACTGGGGGTAAAACCTGCCTCATCTGAAAAAAAAAATAAAGAAATAAAGATAAAAACTGTGGAATGGTGCTCTGATTTGAAAAGTTGAGAGCCACTGGTTTAGGGAAATCTAGTATAAATTTCCTGTAAGAAGCATAGCATGATAGATAAAGTGTTAGATAGGAACTTAGGAAACATGGATCCCTTTCCTGGTCTTGGTATTAGCCAGCTGGGTAATTTTGAGGAAGTCACTTGACCTCTGCTTCAGTTTTTCACATGTGAAATGTAGGTAATGATGCAGTCATCTTTTGTAAAGCCGTTTGAAATGTATTGATGAGCTATGTAAAAGCTAAATATAATCAAGCAGGTGTGTGAGAAGCACTTATGGGATAGGGCCTTAGTATAATCTTGCATAAATTTCTTTTGCTTTTTCACTGATATTGATCTGTTCCTTAATGTCACATTTGTATCTAGTTTCCATTTATCAGAGTGTTCCTTGCAAAGTTATGGGAAGCAAAGATGAGATAGCTGGCTTTAATTCATTTGGGACTTTGGAAACTGTAATAGTGACCTAGGAAAGGCTGTAATGTGGTCAAAACAGTGGTTACTGTTAGGGTTGTCTGTGTGTAGACCATTTCATTGCTTTTGCTTTTCCCTTGAATGTGCAGATTGTTGCTACTTATAATGACCAAATAGGAAATGTCGTTAAGTCCTTTTGATGTTCCTTTGGAAAGCATAAGCCTATTTGCTATAGGAATTCTTCCATGAATAAACATGTTGGTTTGTTATCATGTTACTGAGTTGTGCCTTTCTGCTTTTCAGTGGAAAGAGTTCAGTAGTTGAAACATCATTAGTGTCTGAAATTAAATTGTTGGGGGTTTTTTTAGGATAGCAGAAATCACCGCCATCTTGGTTTTAAAATACTGTGATGTATATGATGGTCAAAACAATATTAAATTAATTCATTATTTGCATCCAGCCATAAATACTTCTGGAAAAGATTGTTTGTGGGTTTTTTTGTGTTTTTGTTTTTTCATTCTGTTTGTATTTGAACTTCAGCTGGGAACACAGTGCTTCTCCCTTCCCCATTTTCCCCACCCCTCTCACAGTAAGTACTGTATGGAGAGTAAGGAAACTACCTTACACTGGTGTCCTTCCTACAGGCTTATGATCAGCACTTAAATATGATTTTGGGTGATGTGGAAGAGACTGTAACAACAATAGAGATTGATGAAGAAACGTATGAAGAAATTTATAAAGTAAGAATTTTTTTAATGTATTCACTATTAATTTTAACCAAGTGTAAAGTGGAATATTTTATTTATTTAAATTTAAATTGAGGAGATGAAAATTGATTTTTGCGAACTGTACTGGTGAAGGACTCCATTTGATAACAATTTGCCCAAAGTGACTTTAAAGTGAAAAAAACATCAAAGTCGCCTGATGCTTACATTGATCTTTTCCACATGCAAAGAGTGTTCAGTTTACATTTATTTCCATTACCCTTGTTTATCATGAACTCTCGGTGTCTATCTTATGAATTTATATTTAATTGTTTGTACAGCCCATCTGATTTAAAAAAAAGTAAACCATGCTCTTCTTTTCTTCCTCTTAGTCTACCAAGAGGAATATTCCGATGCTCTTTGTCAGAGGTGATGGCGTCGTGCTTGTAGCTCCTCCGTTGAGGGTTGGCTGAAACTGCAGAGGATTTACCATGTTGGACAGATTCAGGCATTGGGAGAATGGTTTCTCTTCAGTTCACGCTTCCCTTTCAAACTGTTTATATTTTTATAGGATATTATCATTTTGTGGTTTGGGGTTTTTTTGTTGTTTTTTTGAGGGGGGGAAGGGACCTATTTGTTGTGGGGTTTTTTGTTTGTTTTTTTTTACCAGTGAAAATGGTACAAATTACTTTTACTTATTCCATAGTAAATTTGAAAACCATAACTCAAATCAGTAAGTCAAATCAGTGTTCACAGTCTTGGCTATGGCAGTGTCTTGATTTTTTTTTTTAAACTAATAAATATGATTTATCTTTTGGATTTGACTTGTAACGTTTCATTTTTGTATATAGAAATCAACCAGTGTACATGCATGTTACAACTGAATATGAAATGTGGAGGGGGTGGGTGTTAATGTTTTTACATATATTACAACTCTGCCCCTATAATACTTGTATAGACTGCAAGTTATGAGTCTCTCTAAAGAGCAGTGCAGTTCCATTGTTGCCGTCATGGTTGATTTGTTCCCAGGTTTGTAAATGTCTGTTTTGGCTATGCGCAGATTGGATATGGTTTCTAAAGTATAGCCTTCTGGCATGCAATGTAGAAAATACTAGCCAAAAGCAGCTTGACAGAATTAGAGATATAAAGGCTTAATGGTATTTATGCCAATAGACTAACAGATAAGCAAAGCTGCTGAGAGGAAAGAAATAAAATTTGTCATCTAAATATCAACAGTTTGTGTTGACTGCTGGGTACAGCTGTTAGTCACTGTCTTGCACACTAAGAATGCACATAGGATCATTTCTGCATTAGCAGGATCCAGCAAGTGCTGGCATGTGGAAGTCATAGTATCTGTGGCTGACAGTGGTGTATAGCATATTATTCAGGATTCTTATTTTTCTTGTGGTCTGGGAAGAGAATTAAGTGGCTGTGTCCTTTGAGGTTTGGAGTGTAGAGTGCTTAATTGCATAAGCAATGGGGTTATAAAATAGCAAGGGTGGTCTGGACTGTATTTCCCATTTTAATGAGCGTCATTTTGGAAGTTGGAATAGAGCTGTTCATTACTGGACCCCTGTGTCTCTTAAGTAGTCAGCTTTTTAGGTTTAGTTCATAACATGCCAGCAAAAGCTGCTGTTTTGAGTAACACTGTCCTAGAAGTACAACACCCTTCCTGGTCTACAGGAAAAGTACTAAAAGTGGAAGAATCTGTTTTTAGATTTACATTTTTTAAAAGACAGAAGACTACTTTTTGTGCCAGTAAAAAAAAAAAGAAAAATCAAGAACTATTCCAAGTTATGTCCATGCTAGATGCTCCTTGAAGCAGAGAGAGAAGAAAACTTGGAAAGACAGCTGTAGTTTCAGTGGGATATCTCAGCTGAAATGTGGTTAGAAGACCATCATTGACTCAGAAAAATGGGGCTAGAAGGGACCTCAGGAGCTTGTGCATGTGTAGACCATTCCAGATAAGTGTTTGTCTATAGATTTTTCACCTGTGATGTGATTGTTCTGCATTTTATATTAAGATCAGTGCTCATTCCATGTGCATTATGTTTGGGAACAACGACTGAAACTGACCATGTTCCTATTTCTGCAGATTGCTAAAGTGTGCTAAGTATTCAGTGTTTAAAAACTAGCTTCTCTTGGTATAATGTAATTTTGCCTTTCCTTACAACTGTGCTTAGTGTGATGCTTCAAATAAGAAGCAGCACTTTCTGCTGTTTACCCCTAGAAAAACTCCCCTTCTTAGATGGCATGAGCTTCAGTTTTATTAATTCATTGTCCCTTCCCTTTTCCCCCCACCCCACTTCTCCCCCATGTAGCTACATCTCTACCTGTGAAATCTGTAGAGCAAGGGCATCAAACCAAATGGGCCTGCTGCTGAATCTGTGGGTGTGTACCCCAGTGGACATGGCTATTAGTAGAGCGCGAGTGAATGCTGTGCCATCACAGCCCCACTTGCCCTGCCACCACGTAGCCTACTGCCTCCTCCATTCGCTTCTGCTTGCCCTGTTGCCCCCAGGTCTGGATCCAACCTATGAGAAGCCTTGTGGGCGAAGTTTGACATTCCTGGTATAGACTAACCTGAAATTGATCTTTGAATCTTTAACTCCCATGAGGCACTAGGTGGCGCTCTATTCCCTTGGGTTTAAGCGTGGTTTGCATTGTCCATCAGCAGTGTATGCAATGTCGCAGGTCTAGCCCTCAGAAAATCAGTCATTTGTTTCTAATTTAGGGCCACCGTGGGTGGCAGTCTTAATTACTTTGATATATGCATTGGCCCATGGAAGAATCCTGACTTGTTAAAGAAAGCTGGTTTGGCACATTTGCTTTGCATTTTGTCAAATGAAACTTCATGAAGCCCAAGCTAACTGCTTTGCTAATAGTATCAGTGGAATAGGGCAGCATTTTAGGGAACTGTGGTTAAACAGCTTGGCTGCTGTTGAATACTCCTTGGAGATCAGCAGTATAGAAACATGCACGTACCAGATATGCCTTCGTACCCTAGTGATTCCAGAACGCTATTTGAAAGGCAGCACAGCAACTACAGCAAAGAATTACCACTGCAGTTAAAGCTCAGCTATAGAAACAGTCAACCATGGTTGGCAGTAGTTATCCAGAGCTTGGGCCAGCTGCAGCCAGGAGGCTGCAAGCATCTGTTCCATGCCGTCACCAGCTCCATACCGGTGGGTGTACGCGTGCCTTGGAGTGGATGGTGGAGATGGGGCCTGGGGCAGCACAGCCCTCCCACTACCTGCTTTGAGGTCCACGTGCAGTCACTGTCAGCATGGAGCTGATGCTGGGGCTGTGAAGCCCTGTGCAGGTGTTTGTAGCCTGCCTGCTGCAGCTGCCCAGAGCCCAGGCTGGCTACAAACAGCTGTGCCACGCTCCAGAGTCCAGTCATCAGCTCTGTGCCAGCAGCAGGGGCGAGGCCAGGGTTGTGCTGCCTCAGGCCCACCCCCATCTGCTCTGACGTGCACATGCACTCACCGGTATGGAGCTAATGCTGGAGCCCGGAGCAGATGTTTGCAGCCTCCTGGCTGCAACCGGCCCAGGCTCTGGGTGGCTACTGCCAACCGTGGAGCCTGGCCTGCTTGCAGCAGGGCTTGCAACTGCCCAGCCACCTGCTGGGAGCAGCCCGGGCTTCGTGGCTGGCAGCAGCTGCTTGTAGCCCAGGCTGGCGGTGGCGTGCAGAGCAAAATGTTTTTGTGTGCCATGCTCGATGCATGTGCTGGGGGTTGCTGACCCCTGCTATATACTTTCAGTTCTATTTAACTGGCAAATAGGGCTGTGCGAAGCTTTAGTTGTTGATTTGATTTGGGGGAGATTCAGCCCAACTCGGCAGCCAAATCTCCAAATCTGAATTAAATCAGGAGACCCGTTAATCCCTCTGAATTGAATCGGAAACCTCCAAATCAGTTCGGAGAGATTTGATGATTTGGACATAGACACAGCTTTAAATGTTTTTTCTACATACCTGGAACTTGTGAATGCTGAGATGCTTGGGTGGATGGAGAGTCCCAGAGGAGCGTGGGGGCGTGGTCCCCAGCACACTTGGGGGTTGACCTGGAAATGGACCAGAAGCACTTCCAGTCTACCTCCAGATCCACCGCCGAGCATGCGGGGGGGCCTCCCCACGCTCCTGTGGGATGTTCAGTCTGCCCCACCATCACAGCATTCATGAGCTGCGCCTGGTACCTCAAGGTATGTAGAAAAAACATTTTGAAGCTGTGTCTATGGCTGAATCGCTGATTCTCCGAATCAGCATTGAATCTTCAGATTCGGATTCAGCTGAATTGAATCAGGATAGTGATCCGAATCAAATAGAATCACTGTCCCCTGCTTCAGGCTGAATCTGAATCAAATATGGCTCATTTTGCACACGCCTAGTGGCAAACACCCCAGCTATTTCCACTTATCTTTGCCATTTTCTTCTGAGTTCATGGAGCTGGCTTGGGTTAAATCTAGTTGTCTGAAAGAGCTTGAAAAGGCTGCATTAATGAATGAGCTTGTAATTCCTAGGTCAGACCATATATCTGCAAGTAGTTTTGCTTGACCAGCATTTTCATCATTCTGCATTTAAGGTTGAATCTGGTTCTCCACTATGCTTTAAACATTGGAATTGAGGAGGAAAAAAGAGGCTATGGATGAGGTACTTCTACCTACTTAACCACCCTCTTGTCAAAACAGGATGCAATTGTAAGTAGTATTAGTTGGGGTGGGTTTGATTTAAATTGAATAGATTTAAATCATTATTTAAATCACTGGTCAGAAAGCTTCAATTTAATCATTGTTTTCTACAAAAAATGTATCCTTGTTGTTTGATATAACCATAATACATATTATTCACAACTCAGAGATAGATGTAGGTTTCATTTTTAGAAGGTACACACTATACATTTTAAAGCAGTGATTTATTTTGATATTTTTTCAGATTAATTTTGCAGCTACATCAGAGAACTGAATTATGATTTGGTTATTTTATTTACTAAGGTTAATTGAAGCAGATACTTGTGAAGACATTGGGAGGTGAACTATCTCCAATTCGCTAGATCAATCATGGATATTTGGGGGTTATTTTTGCCACGTGGTATTAGGAGAACATCAAAGGAGCACTGCAGCCACATGTTATTAGCTTGGGGCTTTGTTCTAGATTTCTTCTCATCTTTGATTTCTTCTCTCTTTTACTGCTTGGCAAGCCTGCTGCCATGATAGGTTTTCCCTTTTACCATACCATTCCATCACTAGATCACAAATCAATGGAGAAGCTACACCCAAACATATCCCTCAATACTTCTGGAATATTCTGCTCAAAATGTTTCTCTTTTGTTACTACTGTCCCTCCCTCCTTGCCTTTGTCTCCAGACTCTTCCTCCTTGCCCAGATCTACTCCACCCTCAACAATCCTCTGATCATTTAACTTCTTGAAACTTTGCACTTTTAGAGAGAGGTAAGGGCTTGGCTCTGTGTATACAAACTTGCAGAGAAACAATAGGGCTGATGGTAGGTAATCAGGTCTGTTATCCCTTATCTCTGTATACTGCTGTTAACAAGGATGTTATCTCTGGAGACACAAATCCACAGTTTGAGAACTGAAACTAAGC